CATCTTTACAAACTAACTAATAAAGTTAAGTAAACCTGGGGGAGAGAAGTCTAAATAAAACTGATTACGCATTCAGACTGTCTTCTTCTACAACTCTATAAACATTGAGCTGGTCTCTAGTACCCAACACTAACATTAAAAATATTATAAATGCCGTATACGGCATAGTTGTTGGTCTGAGTGTTTAACTCGTTGGTCTGAGTATTTAACTCGTCTACATCACCTTTCTTTCACATTTCACTAAATCCACCAAGTTGCTGCCGCGTGATTGGCTGAATCGTAAACAGATGTATCTTACAAAGTGGCCGACAAGTGCAGTACTACAATTTTCCTTCCATGATTAATAACGTAAACCTAAAGACTTTATAGGCAAGTTAGGATTAGCGAATCCACCGAGCTGTTAAATCTCAATAAAACGGGAATGAGCAGCTTCGGTGATAAACTTTAACGTTTGGTCTGTTGAAGATTTACAGCACTAACATCATCATCATCATCACCACCACCACCCACCCCCCTCCAACAAGAAATGGTAAAATGCTGTTAATTCCGTTTAGTTACACGATACTGGCCGTCACAATAAGCCTAGCAAGTTAGCTACCCAACTCCTAGTGAGGCACCAGTCTTAAAAACACATAAAAATAGCCTTTTTCCCTCATTAAACTGACACAGGTGTGATCATTAATCCGCTATATAACATACAAGTGTGACTTACTTTTCACAGAAGCAGCAGATGAGCTTTTTGACGCTTAAACTGTGTGAACAACACACTCTTCTACTCCGCACACGTGTTTAGAAGCTTGGGAAAAAATGTATTACGTGCTTTGGAAAGAGCTGCAATATGATTGGCTGCCTCGGACATTCTGAAGACTGTGGCGTCTGATTGGACAGTGGGCTAATACCAGGAAGCTAAACGGAAGGTAAACAAACCGTTGTGGAGAATTTCGTGCTTAGCTGCAAGCTAAAGTGCTTTAAACCCTTTGAGTGTTTGTTGGGTTTGTTTTAAGTTCATCCGGGAGTCATGAACAGCTTCCAGGCCGCCAGCCCTCCGCTCTCTGCTGCTGTGACCCAGATGTTCAACACGCTGGAGTCGGCTGCAGAACAAATGATGGTGCACAGAGACTTCCAAGCGGCTTTTGACACATGTCTCAGTGGTCTGGAGAGTCTCGCCGGCCTGGAGCCCGAGGACAGCAGGTGAGGGTCCTGAAGCTTCACGCACATGTTTAACTGGAAGCTTGGATGTTTGTGTTATAACAGAAACATCTGTTCCTGCAGATGTGCAGAGCTCAAGGCTGGTTTCTGCATCTTAGGGATTCAGGCTCTGGCTGAGCTCAATCAGTGGCGTGATGTCCTCTGCTGGGTTCTGCAACAGTATGAGCAGGAGAAAATACCAGCGAAGATCATGCAGATGTGGTGAGGAAAGAGTTTTATTATTATTATTATTATTATTATTATTATTATTATTATTATTATTATTACACACTGATCTATTGATCCCCAGCCTTTGGACAGGTGGACGCAATATGAAATAAAGTATAAAATACAAATCGTATTACAGTTCAAATATGCAAATTCTCCAAGACATGTTTTTTCAATCAGCACATTTGATCCGTCATTAATTATATAATTAATCATGAATTAAAAATGAAAATAAAATGTAATTACAAATAACAGAAATATTCAAATATGACAAACTTACTAATAACGACGTTTAAAAATAAAACTTTTAAAAGACATGAACAATTCACTGTTTTTTACTGACTGATCTCAATTTAGATTAAGAGGGTACATAGTCACAGTTTCACTCAAACAGTATAAAGTCTCTCAGATGCTGAATTTCAAAAGAATAGCTGTTTGAAATCACTTATAGGAGCTGTGTTTTTCTGCTTCATTCTGAGTGCTATTATAATCAAACCTTATATTAATGACTTCAGCCTTTTGTGATAAAGAAATGTTGTTGTAGTAAATAAAAGACATCTGTCATCACAATTATTTAGGCTTAAATGAATAAATGTGTAAAATGACAGAGCGAGTTCTGCTAGCTCATTGCCCAGACTGTCCCATAAATAGAAAACTAGAAGTTTTGACTTGATGAGCCATATTTTTTTACCCAATGAGGTCACATTTGTAAAAGCCCACACTATTGTACAAAGTGTAAGAAAAAAATGAACTTTTATTTATTACTCAATTGCTTTGATGAGGTCTGAATGGCTATGGAAGAGGTCTTTATCTGTAGGAAAAACTATAAAGTCTGTGAAGTCCAAAGTGTATGCCCTCCAAAGCTCTTCAGCAGGCAAAATTGGAGACTATAATCCCAAATCTATTATGTCAGTGGGTAGGTCCAATGAAAAATGGTTGGCTTTTTGAAATATTTGGACAACGACTGGAAAATATCCTACATAAAAGTGCCTTGTTCTAGTAACGAAACAGACATTTATCACGCCTTCACATCCATAAATTTGGAGCCAAGCTTCCCAGATACTGTGCCAATACTTAGGAACGCCATGTTTCCTACTTAAACCTCTGACTTCTGGGACTGATGGTGATATGTGTGGTGCCATCATTCTCAGAATTAAAGATTGAAGGACAAGAGTGCAGGACACCCAAAATAACTTATTTCTGCTAAAAGGTGTGATGTGTTTGTCTGTGTTTTACAAAGAATTGAAAGATATACTTGACCACCACAGTGGATTTTAAGTCAGATGAACAAGCTTAGACTTTAAGCTTTAACATAAGGGGTTTAGAAAAGTATTGCATTAACTATTTAGGATTTTATTTCTTTAAGAACTTCAGTAAAATACTAACTAATGTGATTTTGTGTCTCATTTTGGCAGTATACTTCTTTACTCCAAGGTGGGTGAGCCTGCTGTAATGCAGGAGGTGACCAGAGCCTGGTTACACTACCCATCCAACAGCAGGGCGACTAGCTTCGGGACGGTGGCAGAGCTGTACCTGCTGCATGTCCTTGTGCCGCTGGGAGAGGCAGACGAGGCTCGGGAGCTGGTCAGAGGCGAGGTTTTTAGCACCGCCTTCACAGAAGAACACAGACAGACTGCGCTGGATATCATAGAAGAAAAAGAGCGACAAAATCAAGACCCTCCTCTAAATGCCAGGATGAGTGGAAGCTCTGACGTCACCGAACATCCTGTCTCATCCCAAGGTCTGACACTTCAGCCTCAACCCTTATGAGATGCATTACACCAAGCGGCCTAAAAAAGACTGAAACTGTTAACTGTTTGTGATTTTGCTTTTGTTCTGCAGGTACTTTAGTCCGTAAACTTGAGGCTGTGATCAGGTTTTTATACCGAAAACTCCTGATGATTGGCTCCGGCTCATTCCCTTTCCGGAGAATCTTTCTGACTGCCATCCTCCTCTACATGCTCTTTTTTCGGATGGATCCAGGTTGGGTGAAACCTTAGTTCTGCTGGTACATCATCGTCTTTTAGAAGTTAAAATAAAAGTGACTATAAATGCGTTTCTGTTGTGCTTTTTTTCCCTGCAGCTCTCCCGTCTGCGTTCATGTGGATTTCTAAACTTCTGCAGCTGCTCAAACAGATGTGGAACGCCATGTTTGCACCGTATTATCAGGCAGTCACTCAGAGCAAAGGACTGTAGAGGACTGAATATGCTTGGTCTATCATTTTAAATGAATTCTCTAATGACTATTTGTAAGACAACATGGATGATATTCACGTCAGATCTATAAAACATTTAAAGTACTCATTCCAGGAAAACTTGCATTTTTTTTAAGCTGCAGACTCTTCAGCTCACATGACACAGCTTCCCATGAATTCTGCCCAGCTCCTCACTAATACATCCTTTGTTTGTCCATCTCAAAGCAACACATGAGTCATCAAGAGTCTGATGTGTTTTTTTTTCCATTCCTTTTTTAAGTCTAGGAAGTGACTCACTGTTCTGGTTCAGAGTACCTAGAATGATGAATGGGGTAAGAAAACAGTTGCAGTCAGTGTATCACTGTAGGAATATGAAATTTGTTAAATGATTATAACAATAGTTATAATAGTCGGTTTAAGTTTTGTGTACTGCAATGTGCTGAGGTCCTGTGGCTGCAAAACAAGCCTAAACCATGACCCCTCTGCCACTGTGCATGACACGAGGTGTTTGTCCTGATATGCTGTATCTGGTTTTCAACAAACGTGGTGCTCTGCATTACAGCCAAACATTGCCACTTTGGTCTCGTCTCTCCAAAGGACATTTCTAGAAGTGTTGCATTTGACATGCTAACTGAGGTCGGTAGAGTCTGGGATGTAGTTTTTTGCACGTCCAAGATCATGCACTGGGTGTGGAATTTGCTGGGACGTTTACTCCTGAGAAGACTGGCGACTGCTTTGAATGTTTTCCAGTTGTGAATAATTGTTCTCACTGCAAAATGATGGACTTCAGATTGTTTGGAAATGACCCTATAACCTTTCTCAGATCGATGGGAAGCCGCAGTTACTTTTTTAACTCGTTCCTCCACAATTACGACATTTGACAACAACGTTAATGGGTGTGGAAAGGTGGACAGAGATGACGTTTTTCCTCCTTGGCGCTGTGTTAAGACACCGGAATGCTCCATTCCAGCAAACTTCCAAAACCTCAGCTTTTATAGAAGTGGTCATGATCAATTAATCAAGTGCATTATCAACACGTTACCATCTTAATTCAAATGGAAGCTGTCAGATTGTAATTAGTTTTTCACAGGATTGGATCTCAAG